ACACACACACACACACACACACACACACACACACACACACACACCCCAAGTGGAGCAGATGAGCCACCAGAGAGGAGACCAGCTAACTGGATTGGTCTGAAGCTCCTTTTCTTTCCTTTTGTATGCAAAACCCTGGCCCGACAACAGACGGCTCAGAGAGCGGAGCCGTGCGGAGCGGCACAATCTCAGAGAGGCTTTTAGAATGTGGGTTTCGTTGGATTTCCTTCAGAGAGAAATGATTTATTCAGCAGCGTTGGGTCTCTGTGGAGGAGAGTGTGCAGAGACGTCTCTGCTCACAGCCGTGTGACGGACGTGGAGAAACGGGACGGATGATGTTTGCTGGTTGTTGAAAGTAAACGGTTTTAATCTGAGCGTGCATTGTGAAGTCAAGTCATCCTGATGTGAGTCATGATGTAGTTAACCGAGGAGAAGAGCTTCTTGTCTTAGTTTTTTTCCGTCTCTCATACTTAATGTACGTCATACTTTCCTGTATGAAAACTGTGTCCTCCCAAAACCACTTGTTTGCTCTAAGCAGTTTACACTATTTATTGGCTTTTGGGGGGAGGTGAACAAGGAGTTTAATGTTGCTGTGTGCTACAGCTTGAACCTCCTCTTTTAAGGCTGTATTTGGCTACATTTTGGAATGTTTTCACCATTAAAAATATGCCGAATTCGCCATTAGCAACCAATGTGTGCAGTGTACACATGGATGTAAAGACGGCTATCACTGGATTACTTTGATTCTGAAGAAATCCTAAAAACGTGATGATCCTTCGGCAGGTTCTGCAGTTACAAGCATCAAGTTTTTTATGGACGTTGGCGATCTCCTCGTGAGGTTTAAGTCCCAAAGGATCAAAACACGTGTCATGTCTGCGTGTTCAGATTTGATTGATTCAGTTTGAAAATATTAATTTTGTTGTTGACTAAACGAAGTTAAGCCTTAGTTTATGGACGCTGTTGTAAAGCCGAGTTTATCGGGCTTAGTCACCAAAACCTGTGTAATGTAGCGGTGAGTTACATGTTCTCACACAACTTCACTGGATCATTGCGTCCCTCCTCCTTTCATTTGGTGCTACTACTACTCTACTCCCCTTCACTGGATCATTGCGTCCCTCCTCCTTTCATTTGGTGCTACTACTACTCTACTCCCCTTCACTGGATCATTGTGTCCCCCCTCCTCCTTTCATTTGGTGCTACTACTACTCTACTCCCCTTCACTGGATCATTGCGTCCCTCCTCCTCCTTTCATTTGGTGCTACTACTACTCTACTCCCCTTCACTGGATCATTGCGTCCCTCCTCCGCTCACCTTGGGGTTGACGATGATCTCCAGGTCCATCGCCTTCTGCTCCTGCAGCCTCTGGATGGCGGTCAGAGAGATCCACAGGTTGTTGGTGTTGAAGATCTTGAACTTTGAGACAGATTTGAATTCGTCCACGTGGGCTTTGGGCACCTGGGCGATCTCCAGCAGACGCAGCTTTCCTTCGTACTGGATCAGCGTGCCGCCCTGAAAAATCAGAGTCCCGTTTTACAACGTGTTTTTATAATGCCGCTGCTTTTTAAATTGAAGATGTGTTGGTAGTGTTCGTAATATTTCTGATTCTATTGATCAAAACTCATTCAGGGAGTTTGGGACAAGTTCTTCCGTCAAAAGTAGTTCCAATTAAAGCAGTTGACTAGTGATGGAGCAATATAGGATTTTATCACGGATCAGGATCAAATAAAAACAAAACACTAAATGTCTATTGTCGGTATAATCGTGGTTATTACTTGGAAAAAGCCAAAGGTCTTGCTTGCTATCATGAAACGGGAATAGTCATGTAAGAAAGACCAGACTCTCACAGTGTTGGTATTTTTATGTATTTATTTATTCATAGGGACTTTATGATTTATTTATTACTTAAGATTGTTCACTAAAAAAAGATATTCGCTCAGCAAACATGTGTCTTTCTGTGATGCCATGAAAATATTAGTTTCTCAGAATGGCACCCAAACACACTGGCATCACTTTAAGTTCCATTTAAGAGTTTTATTTGGATGATTATTGAGATAATATTGTGAATTATTGCAATAATTTTGGCCAGGATAATCGCAACATAAAGAGATTCTACTGCTGACAGTCTGTAGACTATTAGAGTACTGAGGACACATTTCTAGAAAATGTCAACTGTCATTTTTTTGTTTGAGCGCCACGAATTAAATGACATTATATTTGGGTGGAGGTATGAATCTCAAAAGCTCGGCACATTTTTGAATCTCTTTGTTTACTCGACTGTAATGTCTTTTGGTTGCATTGATGGTGACGAAAGGGTCTAAAAAGACTGAACTAAATTCAGTCTTCAGCCAAAACATCACGTCCATGTGTAAACATTGTACGTAATATCTATATCTATATCTATATATAGATATCTATCTATCTATCTATCTATCTATCTATCTATCTATCTATCTATCTATCTATCTATCTATCTATCTATCTATCTATCTATCTATATACATAGATAGATAGATAGATATACAACCTCGTCCTCCACGTACCTTGACGTCGGCGCGCGTCTTATCCGTCACCTCCATGATGAACTCGCAGCGCTTGCCGTTGGGCTGGCTGACCAGGTGGTGCAGGATGTGCAGGTCCACGGTGGCTCCCAGGTTGTCGATGTTGGACACGAAGATGTACTCCTTGCCCTGCGCGATCAGCTGTTCCAACAGGCCCGAGTTGTAGAAGCTGGCGTAGATGTCGCCGTGGCCCGGAGGGTACCAGCCCTCTGCGCTCTGACCCGTTATGCTCAGGTTGGTGGAAACTGGGAGGAGGGACTCTTTGTTGACGCGAGGGTATCTGGACAGAAGAAGATCGGACATCATGTTAGCTTAAAGTTCACTTCTTGTGATTATTAGGTTATAAACAAACTATCATTATTTACTGTCTGATCACTGTATCGTACTGGATGGTAGCTCAAGAATCTCCTTCTATTGGCCAGGTACCAGTGCACATACAAGGAATTCATCTCTTGGATTCCTTGCACAGAAGATTAGGTTTCATCACAGTTTTGCTTCATTTAGTTTGTTTAAACCAGATTAAAATGTCATCTGATTTGCGTTTCACAGCTGAAGTAAATGACTTTGAATTTAACTGAACTTTAAAGATTGAACTTCTTCAAACTCTAGAATCATCATGAAACTCCGTTGGGTTTCTCTTTCTTCCTTTCTTCCTTTAAGGAAATGCACTTTAGCTAGAAATGAATCTAGCTTAAAGTCACCTTAAAGTTCAAAAGTGTGGATCAATAGAGGGAACTCTTATCTAGTCTAGAGAGGATTAAACACAAACTGAAACCTGCATTTCATTTATTTGTTTGGCCACTTGGGGGCAGTGCACCAAGACAAACAACATTCTGTCAGCTTATACAGTCGTTATGATGAACATGTTACCAAACAGTTGTCTATTTACACATCCGGCCGACCCGAAGCAACATTATCATTTATTTAGAGTTAAGTTTTTCACCACCCAGGCCTGTCACGATAACTACTAACTTTTGTTGGACAATATATTTTCCCAGAAATAATTACAATAAATGATAATATTGTCATTTTATGCCTATGATCTAATATTATGGCACAATAATGCAATAAAGAGCAATAAACTATTAATTCTAAAAGATATTCAGACAATGGAATGTGAAAAACACGTTAACATGACGAACATCACAAAGACAAAGAAATCGTTTAGCTCCGCATCATCTTGGCGTAAAGCCGTGGAAACATGAGTAGCTAGCTCTCCGTGTTCCATTTGAATTTCTTCTTTCAGAATCACTGCGGGACTTCAAACAACGCCTTCGGGGAGCAAAGTGTTTGCAGGTGAGGCAACATGCCAAAGATTCCAAGTCATCGGCGCTGTGGGCATGAAAGAGATCAAAGCGTTCCTAAGAAGGATCCGCGTCAGGTGGAGTTAGAGATCCGCGTCATGCGATGAAGATGTTTCAGAGAGCTGATGAGCCGGTCAGCTGGGAGGAGCTTCACCGGTTTGCTTTTCACAGACGTCCATCTGACTGTTCTGGGAGGATGATTCAGACGAGTGGGTCTGATGTGAGCTCATTGGCTTCAAAGGTTTTATGTTCTTTCAAACACAAGAACATTTTGTTACATCCACAGAAATGTCTCCGTTTCTTTGTCTCACAACACTTAAGAAAACATACTTCTCATGAAAGAGATGTTGAATTTTCTTCTTCTTTTCCTCGTCTTGAAGATTTTAAACGTGACTTTTCTGCATTACGTCTAAAACAACTAAACCTTTGATGTTGAGTTGTGAACTTCCATTTTCTCAGATGTTGAAAACAACTTTCAAACCTGAGAAATCTGTTGTTGAGATTCATTTGGTCGCGTGTCGATGGCGTCCTATCATCTTTGTGCATCCGTCAGTGTTGTAGTTGTCTGCCAAAAGCTATAATTCATTTAATTTGTATTATATAATCTTAAATATACTTTTTATTCAGTTTCAAGACACATTTTTATGATAAGATGTAGGTGTCTTTTCTTGTTGTTTTTGATAAGAACATTAAACATTGTGTGTTTTTAAAGTTTCTTTTTAAATATTTCATCACATCTTTACTAAAAATCATTTTGTATCTATTTCTAGCTATTTAATTCAGTTATTATAAGGAAACAGTTAGCGTTATCAGCTATTGTTAGCTGGATTTGCATTTAAAATAAAACTATTTTTGGATCTTTGCAGGAATTGTGATAAAGTCTTTTAAGTTTTAAAAGAATAAAGAACGAAGCGATAGACTGATTATTTATTCTGCTCGTCTGCTTGGTTTATTTTGACCAAAGAAAATAAGTGTACGGGCAATTCTTTGAATTTGTCTGTAGCACCAGAGAGTGTGACGTGATGAGCAGTGAATTTAACTGGCTTTTTTATGAATTTCTCTCACAGTCTCTCTTTGTTCTGTTCATTGACATTCTACCATTAAAATCATGAAGCTACAGCCTCCAAACACCAGCGCTGTCTGAAAACTGCTTTGTACTGCACAGAACACACAAGTGCTCTAAATAATTCAAAGGGAAACCGTGAAAAAAACAGTTTCCACATGACTGACAAATGGAGACGCCAAGGCATTAAATATTCACGTGTCTCCATACATTACATCTCACTTCCTGTCTGGACACACAGCAGAGGATTGTCCACCACTCAGATACTGAATATAGACCCGGTCATCATCAGAGTTCATTCAGTACTTCTGGGTTCAATGCTGCTACATCTCTTCTTAGTTTAACAGCATGTACTTAGTGTGTTTGCTCACCTGCTCTGGTTGAAGGTGTGTATCTTGACGCGGTGGTGTGTGTACTTCTGCAGGATCTTGTTTGTGTCCTCGTCCGTGTTGAAGGAGTTCATGAGGACCAGGGGCACGTCTGTGTTGTAAGTCTTGTTCAGGTGCTGTGAGGAGGGGGGGGAATAAAACATTGACTTTAGCACTAGCATTATTAGCATCCAGACAGGACTGACTCAGATTTTTCCAAGTTATAACTCGGACCAGAGGTTCTCTTTTGGTCATTTAAGGCCTGGAAAAAATAAACTGGGTTATGACCATAGACTGTATATAAGAAGTGGACGTAGTCATCATTTACGGTACCCTGCTTTATGGTCTGTTTGACTCTAAATGGACCATAATGTACTAAATGAACATCATGCTGTATTGAAGAAGACTTGAAACTAGAGATTGAGACCATAAACTCATGTTTACAATGTTTACTGAGGTAATAAATCAAGAGAGAAGTAGAGTCATTTTCTCATAGACTTCTATACAACCAGAGGGAAAAGAGTGACAGTTTTAAAACACATCTGCATCGGCTTCACTTTTCAGAACCCGGAGGTTGCCACCTGGTTATGCCCCAGTCCGCTGTTATGATGAATATAATATAAATATCACTCTCTGCCATTATGAATTAGGGGTGGGAATCACCAGAGGTCCCGCGATACGATATTATCACGATACTTGGGTCACGATACGATATTATCACGATATGATATCACGATACTTAGGTCACGATACGATATTATCACGATACGATATTATCACGATACTGCGATAACATAGGCCTATATTGCGATTTATTACTTTTTTCAACTTCAAATTATGTCCCCAAAGGAAAACTGTGTCAACATGTTTTATCTAATAAGATAAAGTTTTCAGTCTTTTTTTATAGTTTATATAATAAAAGATCGATACTTAGCGTCCGTGTATCGATACAATATCGCCACGCAAAATATCGCGATACTATGCTGTACCGATTTTTTTTTTTTTTTTTTCCCCACCCCTATTATGAATACATATTGAATGTATTCCGGGTCATATTTCCTCTGAGCTTTTGCTGGTGCAGTACTGAGAGACAGACGTCTATGGAAAGTACATTTACATATTCGTGGCGGTAGGTATACATGTGTATGAACAGTATGTATATGTACATGCAGATGTTAACCGTATATGTGCCGCATAAGGATTTAATTATTTTTCTCTTTCAGAGAGATTATTATCTGTTTAAATCCCAAAATCAATACAATTCAAACGATAAAGAACTGGGATGATTGAAGTTGAATGTCTGCCACTAAAAACATTTCTGTTGTGTTTGAGAGTCTCTGAATACAAATTTAAGAGTCAGTTATGTCAGTCGGACTTGTAGAAGTAGTTTTTGTTTGGCGTTGACGGTATTTAACTTGATTTAGAATAAATACAAAAGGAGGGAAACACCTGAGGAGAGACGGAAGAATTCACCGAGATGAGAGAAACTCAAAGTCGGAGAGATGATGAGAGAAGGAATAATTAGACTTCTGTTAACATCCTTGTTTTGCCTTTAATAACCAGGATGGGAGTTGGCTTTATGTAAACGAACACTGATGTCTTATTAACAGTGCATGACTGTGTTTAACTGACCCGCAGCTTTGTGAGGGCAGTGATACTTCAGGATGTTAAAGAGCTCACCCCTCCCACAGATCACACACTTCACAACGCAAACAAATGAAAAGACTCAAACCCACCGACAACGTACGAGAAAGCTTTGTGTGAGAGGCAGAACATGAGGGATGACGAGGACCACGAACGGTGAACGAGCCTCCAACATTTAGTCCAGTGTGGAGCAAACAGAGCGGGCCCGTGTGCACAATCTGTATTTCATTAACTATTGCTATGGTTTTGTTTGTCATGAACATAAGAGCATTATTTGTTGTCTTCATTTCATATTAGAGATATAGAAAGGAAATGTGGGGAGAGAGTTTTAAAATGTCCTAAATATTTGGATTTTTTACATTTTATCCTCACAATAACTATTTGATTTAGAGCTGCAGGATGTTGGAAAAGAAGCGGACATTGCAATTTTCTTCTTCTTATGCTATATGGAAAAAATACAAGAATTCTCACCAGATTACAACAAAATACCCGTTTTTACATAAAACTGAAGTTTCTGTGTTTCTCCTTCTGTTCTTCGCTCATTTCTAGGTTGAGGTCGACGACTAGCGGCGCCTGCTTTGGTTGTTTTAATGAATCGGAGAATGATTGTGATTGGTTGTAAGTCCCTCTCTAGCAACACACTCAGAGTATCCAACAAGCCTTGAATCAGAGTAAATGATTCTCCATCACACTCTTGTAGAGTAATCGTAGAAAATGAGAATAAAGCAAAGTTTATTTTTGTATCAAGCCGCAAAAAAAAGTGTTTGAGCTCATTTATAAATAATAACTATTAATTTATGGAACCGTGGAAGTCACTGCATTTTCCACAACACGGTCCTGCAAATATTTCAGAATAAAAGCCTTGTGGTAACAGATGAAGGAATTCCGTCCACAGAGAGACACTCGGGGGGCTTTTTAAGTTTGACTTCATTAACTGAAGTGAAGTATTAACGAGCTGAAAGCAGTAAATGTTCAGCAGCCAGGTGGCTCCATCCCAGAAACAGTCCAATCGTCCTCGTCTCCGCTAAGTGTGAGAGTACAGGGCTCTGTTAGGTAGGTAGGTGTGTGTGTGTGTGTGTGTGTGTGTGTGTGTGTGT